CACTTATGATTGGGGTGGGAAACAGCATGATCAAGGGCTGGGTAGGCGCCTGTGGTTTCAGGAAGATCCTCACTCAGTTGACCACTGCTCAGATGCATGAAGTTGGATCAGTGAGTTTGTTTCTCTGAATCTTTGCAGCCTCAGCTGTGAGGGGAGAAGGTTGTTACTGATGTCAAAGGGTTGTTTGGAAGTACCAAGGGTTGGGAGGCATCGCCACGCTGTAGGAGCTTAACTGTGGAGCTGCTGCCATTGTTGTGAAGATGAAAGAGAAAGGATGAGAATAAAAAGAAATCAAAGCTTTGCTTTTGTGTAGGGGTGTCTGATCGTTTGGCCTCCGTGGGCCACATTGGAAGAGTTGTCTTGGGCCACACAAAAAATATGCTGACTGACACTAATGATAGCTGATGAGTTCAAAACAACAACAACAAACAATCACAAAAACACCTCGTAATATTTTAAGAGTTTACAGATTTGTGTCGGGCTGCACGTGTGGCCTGTGGGCCACGGGTTGGACAAGCTTGCTTTTGTGAGCGAGGCTTGAAGCAGGAGAGCTTAAAAAAATACGAGGGAAATCCTGTAAGAAGCAGGTTATTATGTAAGCAAAATATTCCATTATCTGAGTGTGGCTTTTTGGATAAAAATCTGACACCAAAATTCTTTCCATGTGCTCCTAATAGCACCCTGAGTGGAACAAATGGAAGGCATTTACATTTTACCAGCTCCCCTTACCATCTTTTGATGGGGCAGTCAGGCAACATTAGGACCGACTCCAAGCAGCTCAGGCTGGAGTGCTCCAATTTGTAGCATCTTCCTGCCTGCTGCTTCCCCATTGCAGGCCCACCCGGTCAGCCCTGCCCACTCCTCTTTTGGTCCCTTTTTGAGTGGAAAGGTGCCCAGTCATGGCCACTCAGAGGGGGAAAGCACTTGTGGTCCATCTATCGGGTTTCTAGTTGTCATGCCAGTTTTGCAGTATTGATGAAATGAGAAGCAGGGATCCAAATATCACCCTGAGGTCATTTGCCTTATTGTCATTGCTACTCGGGCAATGAGAGTAGGCTGGGCGAACATATGATGTCAAGAAAAGGCGGTGTGGCCTAAAACATCGTGTCTCTCTCAGGCAGAGCCCTCAGCAGTCCTAGAAAACAAACTTTCAGAGCCGGCCATGATCACAAAATAGAAATCATGTCCTTTTGATCCTTGTCATAAGGCCAGATCCTGTTGCTATGATTGCTCATGGCATCCCAAGCATCACACTCATCTCCCATTTTTTTTGTTGTTGTTGTTTTGTTTGTTTATTTTTTTAGATGGAGTCTTACTCTGTCATTCAGGCTGGAGTGTAGTGGCATGATCTTGGCTCACTGCAATCTCTACCTCCCAGGTTCAAGTGATTCTCCTGCCTCAGCCTCCTGAGTAGCTGGGACTAAAGGTGTGTGCCACCACACCCAGCTAATTTTTGTATTTTGGAGTAGAAACAGAGTTTCACCACCATACTGGATGGTCTCCAACTCCTGACCTCATGATCTGCCAGCCTTGGCCTCACAAAGTGCTGAGATTACAAGTGTGAGCCACCTCACTGGGTCTCATCTCCCTTGTAATTCTTCAATCTGTGTTGCTTGGTGGGTCCCACCCCTGGCCTGACCCTTACCCCCAGGCTATTAGCTCCATGAGGAAGGGCCTGCGTGGCTCCCACTCACTGTGATGTTCAGTGGATGACACCGAATCCAGCACCAACTGGTGCTCAGTATACATTCCTAGGACAAAGGACTGGAAATGAATGTTATATTCTAGTTTACAGCTTTTTATCCCAGGACATTGGGTCCTCAATAACCTTTGAAAGCTTCCGTTAAGTTCTTCCTTACAGACAATAAAAGCTTGTATCATAAAAGGTTTAGTTTTGGGTGTAGTCCACTTGTGAAGATACAGCACACACAGGAGGGCTGGAGGGTCCCTAGAAATCTAGTCCATCTCCTTTGCATTACAGAAGAAGATATGGACAAGAAAGAGGCAAGGGCTTAAATAAGTGTAAGAAGGTAAGAGAATCACCACTGGACTCTTAACAGCCTGTGTATTTAACAGGTGCTCCTGATAACTTGGGGGCACTGTGGTATAGTGGTTAAGAAAGTGGGTTTTGGGCACCAGACTACCAGGTTCAAATCCTGGCTTTGCTACTTATTAGCGTTAAAAGAAACACTTTAGACAAATTAAATTTAACAGGGCTTAATTGTGCAAAGAATGATTTGCACTTAATCCATGCTTAACATTGGATTTATATCCTCTTAAATACCAACTTGGTTTCTCCAATTCAGGTACATAACATTGTTTATTAAATGGGTTATCATAGGTAATTTGACTTGGACCACGGAGCTCGTTCAAATTGCATATCTTAACAATTTTGGTACTGGCTGCTGTAGCATGAAAATCTGGCAGAGTATTTCTTTGGTATTCAATTAATTCTTATCCTGTTTGAGTTAGCAGTTTTATAAACCAGCCATTCTTTTGTTAGAGTTCTGGGAATTCTTAGTCCAAATGATCATACAGTAATCAGATATCTGTATTTAAGAGTTTTTGTCAGGGTGCTTTCCATCCTTTGCAGGAGCCAACCTGCTTAAAGATACAATACTTTAGAATTTTACTTGCTTGTAAAGAGCTTTCAATAAATGCATAACCATTAAGCAATTAAATGTGGGCAAGACTTAAAATGGTCTTGGCTCAAGATGCAATTGATAAGAAAATTTGCTTGTGTGACTTACAAAAATTTAACACAATAAGCAAATTATGACTGATAATATCAGACTTTATTTTATTTTTGAGACAAACTCTCACTCTGTCACCCAGGCTGGAGTGCAGTGGTGCCATCTCAGTTCACTGCAACCTTTGCCTCCTAGGTTCAATTGAGTCTCCTGCCTCAGCCTCCCAAGTAGCTGGGACTACTACCACCATAGCCGGTGAATTTTTTGTATTTTTAGTAGAGATGGGGTTTTACCATGTTGGCCAGGCTGGTCTCAAACTCCCGACCTCAGGTGATCTGCCCGCCCAGAGCTCCCAAAGTGCTAGGATTACAGGCATGAGCCACTGTGCCTGGCCAGAATTTTATAAATCTCATATAATTTTGGAACACGTACTAATAACATATCCATACGAATATAACTTGAAGAAGGTTAAACAATATTTACATCATTTCTTTCTGTTTACTTGTTTTTCAGCTTCTCGAGTGGCTGGAACTACAGGCACACACCACCATTCCCAGCTATTTTTTATTTTTTACTTTTTATTGTTTTGTAGAGACAGGATTTCACTATGTTGCCCAAGCTGGTCTCAAACTCCTGACCTCAAGCAATCCTCCCACCTCAGCCTCCCAAAATGCTGGGATTACAGGCATAAGCCACCACACTAGATCATATTATTTCTTATTTGACAATGCTTCCATATGATTTATCAAACAAGTCTCTTTATTATTTCTTTTTTGGATGCTTCAGGGACCCTTTGGAACACCTCAATTATTAATAGTTTGAGGTCATAGAGAGTTAATTTCAGAACTTGAAATCTGATTTTGAGAAGCCTGGAAAGTATGTCAAAGGTATAAAACATAATCAAAATCGCATCACAGGTCAATCATAGTCATTCATTTACCCAAAGTGATAATTAAAAGGTGTTTTGTGTGTGTGTGTGTGTGTGTGTTTTTTTTTTTTTTTTTTGAGACAGAGTCTTGCTCTGTTGCTCAGGCTGGAGTGCCATGGCACAATCTCAGCTCACTACAACCTCCACCTCCCAGCTTCAAGCGATTCTCCTGTCTCAGCCTCCTGAGTAACTGGGACTACAGGCATGTGCCACCAAGCCTGGCTAATTTTTTGTGTTTTTAGTAGAGATGGGGTTTCACCGTGTTAGCCAGGATGGTCTTGATTTCCTGACCTGGTGATCCGCCCACCTTGGCCTCCTAAAGTGTTGGGATTACAAGTGCGAGCCATCGCGCTTGGCCATGAAAAGGTTTTAAAAAGCAAAAATGTTTATTCTTTGATGGAGAGGAGGATCAGTTTTCCAAATAATCAAAAGACTTAATAATGACAACATGAAACAGAATCTGTCTCTCCTTCTCTTCTCTCTCTCTTTTTTTTTTTTTTTTTTTTTTGCAGCTTACCTAAAGGGTGAACAATATTTCTTTTGCTCTCTCTTATTAATACTATAAAAACCTCTTATTCAAAGGAGAAAATCGAACTTTAGTATTAGTGTATTATCAATACTAAAATTAATTTTAAGAAAGTTTTATAAATAGAGGGTGGGTGTGGTGGCTCACACTTGTAATCCCACCACTTTGAGAGGCTGAGGCAAGAGGATCATTTGAGGCCAGGAGTTTGAGACCAGCTTGGGTAACATTCAAGACCCTTACGTCTAAAAAAACCAGAAAAATAAATAAATAAATAAATAAATAAATAAATAAATAAATAAATAAATAAAAAGAAAAGCCAGGAGTGGTGGGATACACCTCTGGTTCTAGCTACTCAGGAGGCTGAGACAGGAAAATCCCTTGAACCCAGGAGTTGGAGGCAGCAGTGAGCTAAGGTTGTACCACTGCATTCCAACCTGGGTGATAGAGCAAGATCCCATCTCTTAAAAAAAATCCTCATAAACAAATACATCTAATCTCAGTCAGCTTTTGAACACAAAAAAGAAGATTTCCACACAATGGACATCTTATATTTTATAAAATAATCTCTTTTAATCTCTTATATAATCTCTTGTAATCTTATAAAATTATAATCTCTTACAAAATTCTTTTTTTTTTTTTCATAGAAAGTCACTTTAATAGATAGGGACAGTAATAAATAAATATACAATCTCTATATACAAGCTGAGACCCTTTCCTTTTGTCTAACTCCAAGCCTCCTCCCTGAATATGTGGTATGGAGGGTCACATCATTGGCACTAGTGAGAGGGTGGTCAGTAGCCACTTCTGAGAAAAGCGGGTAGTGTGGTCCGGGTTGGGGAGTGATGGTCCCAACTGTTCATGCTTGGTGCAGATTCACCATTCGGTCAATCAGAGCTCGCCTGGTCACCTCTACTTCCCTGGTCAGGCGCTCGATTTCCTGCTTGAGCCGCTTATTCTCTTCAGCTAACTGTGCCACTTTCCTTTCATTCTCCTGTTCTTTCTCCTTCATGCGTTGCTTTCCAGCCCGGGCTGGCAAGTGGCCACTCTGTTTCCGTTTCCTGTTTCTCCCTTGGTCTTCCTCCTCTTCCTCCTGAGCCAGGGATCTCTGACTGGAATCTGGAGAGCAGGGGCTCTGGGAGGTGCTTGTGACCTCTGCTGGTCCTGGCTCCTCCTCAGAGGTCAGCCAAGCAAGAGAGGCAGGGTCAAGAGTGGTGAAGGTTTTTGATTCTTCCTCTTCATTTCCAGGAGGTGAGACACAGGTACCTCCATTTTCATCTGAAGACAGGACCTCTTGCAGGTCCTCATACCAGGCTTCCAGCTCCCAGCTGGACAGTGTCCCGAAGGAGAAAGGCAGTGACTCAGCGGCCATCTCTGCAGTTGGGTCAGTCTGCTTTCAGGTGTGGTGATGTATGAAGATACACTTCCTCCTTGAACACTCTCTCCTCAGGTTCCAGCTCTGATTTTGGCTCTGTCGCTGCCACCCGCTCATCTTCAACATGATATTTTCCGTGCCTTAGACTTAAGCCTCTGACCTCTCACAAAATTCTTTTCATCTTTTTCTTTCCCCAACTTTTTATATTCATTTAGTTTTATCTACAGCATGTTTTCCTTCATTTTGAAACAACTTTACATAACTTTAAAAAGAGACAATATTACTTTAACAACATACTCGTCCTCATGTCTTTTTTATAATGTTCTTCACTGAAAAACACACATCTCACTTTATTTATTTATTTGAATTACAATGTGACTTTTAATATTTTGGGGTGAGCCCCACAGGAATAAAAACACTGGGAAGGGGTAACCACCTGACCTTGAGGAGTGGCCCAGGAGGAGAGAGCCTACCTGAGGGGAAGGAAGCACAAAAGGTACGCCCTACAGACTCAAGGCAAACAGAATGCCATTGGCACTGGACCCGTGAGCACTACAGGAGGAAACGCGAGGATGGTTGGACTGGCTCCAGGCACAGTGGCAAAGGGCAAGAGAGTTGGACACAAAGCCACAAATCTACTTGGGTCCTCCCTCCTCCTCCTTTTTTTTTTTTTGAGACAAAGTCTCACTCTGTCGCCCAGGCTGGAGTGCAGTGGTACGATCTTGGCTTGCTGCAACCTCCACCTCCCGGGTTCAAGAGACTCCTGCCTCAGCATCCCAAGTAGCTGGGATTACAGATGTGTGCCACCACACCTGGCTAATTTTTTTTTTTTGTATTTTTAGTAGAGTCGGGATTTCACTATGTTGGCCAGGCTGGTCGCGAACTCCTGACTTCAAGTGATCCACTTGCCTCCCATAGTGCTGGGATTATGGGTATGAGCCACCATGCCTCGTCTGGGTCCTCCGTCTTTTCATTTGTCTCTTTCTGCTTCTGCTGCATGATCTCCAAGTCCCTCTGCTTGCAGGAGGCAGCAGAAAGCCCATCATCATCTTGGTGCTTTCCCTTCACCAAGTCACTCTGCTTCTTCATATTCTTCTGGTGGGCAAGCTCACATTGGTTACCACAGTCATGGCTAAGGCAGGGCAGCAGCTCTGACCTGCCTCTGTTGCATCCCCTTCTTCTGTCCCTGTCTCACCGAATACACTCTATATACAGAATTATTTTTTTTATGTCTCATAGTTTTAACTACAATTAAGTATTACAATTAAAATTAAGTATAATTTCAACCCTTAGTAACTCTAATTTCCAGTGAAAACCCTAGGAAGTAATTTGAACTGTTTTCTATCAGCATTTAGAGATAAAAAAACATTTCATAATTTTTTAGAAAGATGTGTTCCCAACTGGGCATGGTGGCTCACACCTGTAATCCCAGCACCTTGGGAAGCCAAGGCAGGAGGATCCCTTGAGCCCAGGAATTCAAAACCAGCTTAGGCAACACAGAAGACTCCCATTTCAAAAAAATAAAATAAAATAAAAGATATGTTTCCTCAATTTTTTTTTTGTTTGCTAACAGATCTAAATATATTTGGCTTTTCTATATGATATAAAATAAGATAAAGTGTAGAAACTTAAGCTTATGTTTAATAATTAATCTTTTAGTATTTTATAACTTAAAAATGACTCAAACATTTTATGATTATCTATTACTTAATTTAACATAATGCATCCTTAAGATTTTTAAATTAGTGAAAAGAATGTTGAAACTATGAAACAGGTACTCTATCTAATGTCTTCTGTCATACTGAGCCTCAAATACCACATGGCACCCAGGAAAGAGTATGAAAGGCAGGGACCTTCTGAGTCCTGAATTCACACAGTAGGTGTACAGGTCGGAACACATGACAGAGCTGTAAAGAGAAGGCCTGGAGGATCTAACTCTTCCTTGTATAACCAAGAAGCAAAGCTGGGCCATATTGAACCTGGCTCTTCATTGGAGCTGGTGGCCCAGGCATTGAGAACACAGGGTGTGTCCCCAAGCCCACAATAGCCACTTGGCCAGGTCCCAGTATCCAGAGGCTTAAAACCAAATATTTATATAAGCTCACAGTAAGATGTGTGCAAGGCTTCAGAAGAGCCCAGAAGCCAGCCCTTGTAGCTTTAGCTTACAGACAAATCAAGCAAGTATCAAAAATATTACAGAAGCAGTAGTTTTGTTACTTTAAAACATGTATTAGAGACAGCATAAACCTGTCTGATCAGTGGATCCAGGCAAAAATATTTGAAATATATTTAATGCTGACAATTCTGGAAATATTCCTATTTTATTATATCAACAATTTTAAAACTAGCTTTATCTAACAAATATCATTTTAGATCACATGGACATATCACATACATATAACGTATATAGACACATAGTTATACAGACACAGATAGAAGCACATCTTACAGCTTTCATGAAGATTTTTCATTAGCCAGTTTACAAATAATTTTTCTTTATTCAGACTATCCATTTTTCAATTACCTGTATCATTGTCCTAAGTAACTGTTAGTTACATAATCCTACATTGCACTTCTAAAGGGATGCCTCTTAGGTGAAACAAAGGAGAAAATGTGTATCTCAAAAGCACAGAGACTTCAGGCCTAAACATTGTACCATCATTTGCTCAAACCAGCTAAGGAGGGTGTAGGTAAGAGCCCAGTTAAGACAAGATGGCTGGGAAAATCACCTTAAGGGTAAGACTTGTTATGTAAACCTAATCTACCTGTAAGAGTTTCTAGTGACTCAGTGTTCCCTCTCTTCCCAGTGCACAAAGTAGTCAATCTTAAAGATTTCCTTTATAGATTATATAAAATGATTTTTAAATAGCTAGCTAAATGCCAGAAAGATGTATTTTGGAGACCAACTTAGTTCAGTAAGTAGACTTTTAAACTTAGTGTCTGTTTCTTAGCTAAAATTACAGAGTCCAGGATGAAACCCACTAAAGAATAGGTCTGGGAAAGCATTCTCTATGCCTGAAGTCAGCATGGATAGCTCTGAAAAAGAATCAAGCCCACTTGACCTGAGGGCTACCTTTTATAAGTACTCCAACCAACTTTCTTTTCACCTTCAGGGCAGAAGAGAAAAGTTAGCAGATTCAGTTTTTCTTATCAATTAGTTGCTTAAACTTCCTATTTGCCTTTTAAAAAGATAATAAGGCCAGAGGTGGTGGCTCATGCCTGTAATCCCTGCACTTTGGGAGGCTGAGGTGGGTGGATCATGAGGTCAAGAGATGGAGACCATACTGGCCAACATGGCAAAACCCTGTCTCTACTAAAAAAATACAAAAATTAGCTGGGTGTGCTGGCGTGTGCCTGTGGTCCCAGCTACTCAGGAGGCTGGGGCAGGAGAATCATTTCAACCCAGGAGGCGGAGGTTGCAGTGAGTGGAGTTCATGTCACTGCACTCCAGCCTGGCGACAGAGTGAGACACCATCTCAAAAACAAACAAACAATAATAATCTTAGAATCTTTTTAGAAGCTTTTGCACATCACTAGGCATTCCTGGATGAGCCTAATTTCAGGAGCCCTCACTGTTAAATGCACTTCCTAAAGTGCAGGGTCGTTCATTTGGAATGTTCTATTGTAATTTTATCTTTAGTAAGATTTCACCAGCATTGTTAAGTGTTTTCTGCTTCTATAGCTAGAAAATGGAGAGCTCGGTTCTTCAAAAATTAAGGGTCCTATTATTGTAGCACTTTTCGTTAACTCAGATAAAGATGGGGTTCTTGGTTCATGGCCACAAAAGATTAGGCTTGCAGACAACTTGAAGGGTGAGTAAGGCAGGGTTTTATTGGGTGATATGGGAAACAGGGACCCTCTGCAAAGCTAGAGTCCCTGCTGGTGTACTTCTGGCCTGGCAATTTGAATCCCGGGTTCCACACAGGAAGAGGAGGTGTCGGGCTCCTCCCCACTGCAAATCCTGTGAATGTCGGTGGTGGCTCCAACTCAACGTGCACTCCCCGCAGTGTGCAGGCTGGCTGGGGTTTCTCTGGGCACCCCTTCCCCCGGCTGTTTCACTATTTTTACATTGAATATTGGCTTTGGCTTTCTGATCCCTTTGATCAACTTAGCCAATAATTCATTCCTACCTAAGCACACAGTGAAAGGGTTGGTTACAGCTGGATGTCTGCCTTATTTGAATACAGTTTAAACGGTTGGCTGCCTTGGATTGGCTGAAACTCTGTAATTGGTACAAGAATAGGTTACTTTGTGTGTGACTGAAAAACTTACTTAAAACTCAGTATGCCTTGATTCCCATATCAGCAAAATGGGAATATTCGTTCCTGCCTTGAGGGGTGACTGTGAGGATAAAATGAGTCAATGTATTCATTGCTTGCCTTCTCAAACTACCAGGCCAAAGCCATATTAGCGTATATAAGATGTATACATATATTAGAAAGATATATATGTTTATATATTTTAAATTCATTTATTCATTGATGGACACTTAGGTTTACACATTCAGTTATATACAGTTTGGCATGTTTTGAGACAAAATCTCTGCGAATTTCTGAATGCTAGAGTTCCCAAGGCATTTTCTGTAGGATTGCCATTTACTACCAGTTTTTGTCTGACCCAGTCAGACACCTAGGCCTCTAACTGAATCTAATCTGGTTAATTACCAGATCCAGTCTCATCCGAGAGCCAGGCCAGTTTCTGTTGGGACTACTAAATCCGGTTTGGATAAAACATTTGCTCAAACAAACTCAAGCAGTTCAAAAAACAAATCTATGCAGCCTCAGAATCCAAGAGTGAATGTACACACCATCCCCAGCTGTTGTGAGAGAGCAATGGACACAGTGGGCCCGTGGGCACCTTGCTTGGTCATTTGATGCTCTTAGGGGTTGCCCGCTGGAGGTTCTACTTCAAATCCCACTTCTGATGCCATCTGTTGAAAGAAAAACTTTAGACAAATTTAATTTAGTATACTTTAATTGAGCAAAGAACGATTCATGAATCAGGAAGTTCCAAGAACCAGAATGAGTTCAGAGTAACTCTGAGCTGCCTTGTGGTTGGATAACATTTATGGACAGAAAAAGGAAAATGGTGCACAGAAAATGGGAGTAAGGTACAGAAGCAGCTGGATGGATTACAGTTTGAACACAGTTGAAAAGTTGGCTACCTTGGATTAGGTGAAACTCTCTAATTAATTGGTACAAGAGGACCGGGCGCGTGGCTCAAGCCTGTAATCCTAGCACTTTGGGAGGCCGAGGTGGGTGGATCACGAGGTCAAGAGATCGAGACTATCCTGGTCAACATGAGGAAACCCCGTCTCTACTAAAAATACAAAAAATTAGCTGGGCATGGTGGCAAGTGTCTGTAATCCCAGCTACTCAGGAGGCTGAGGCAGGAGAATTGCCTGAACCCAGGAGGCGGAGATTGCGGTGAGCCGAGATCGAGCCATTGCACTCCAGCCTGGGTAACGAGCGAAACTCCGTCTCAAAATAAATAAATAAAATTGGTACAAGAATAGATTACAGTCTGTTAACACATCCAGTTCTGTACAGTTCAGGATATATAGAGAAACCTTTGTGCTGAACTTAAAATATGTATGGGGGTGGCTGTAGTCTAAACATAATTTAACATTAGTTACCTGATATTGGACAAATCATTAAACCTGTCTGTGCTTTGACTTTTTTGTCTGTAAAATGGGGTAATATTAGCTCCCACCTCCTAAAGCTCCTTGGAGGATTAAATGAATTAATATCTCTAAACACTTGTAACAGTACCTGCATTAATAAACACTATATAAATGCTTATTCAAATCATCATTATATTCTATAAGAATCTGAATAATAATCCCATTCAATAATTCAATATTTCGGAGTCCTGTTCTATGCCAGGAGCAGCATATGGATGGGAGGTTTCAGATAAGCAAGTCCTGACTTTGGACCCCAGGGTGTTTACAAAATATTTTTAATGGGAAAACCATGAAGGAATGATTTATCTGATCCAGTCCTGGGCGTAAAAAGAGCAAACCTCTATGAAGGCCTGGGCCAGACATAGCAAGTGTATCTATCCTCATATATGGGTAGAAAGGTGAATGC